ACGATCCCCTTCGGCGGCTGCTGCGGCGTCGGCGCCTGCGTCGGCGGCCGACGGCTGGCGGCGGCGGCAGGGACGACGATTTCCTTTTTTGGGCCGGCGCCGGCGCCTGCGGCGGCGGGCGGCGGCGGCGGGGAGCGTCGACGTGGTGGTGGTGGTGGTGGGTTGTGGTGGTGGTGGTGGCTGTGGTGGTGGTTGTGGTGGTGGTGGTGTGGTGGTTTGTTGTTGTGGTGGTGGTTGTGGTGGTGGGTGGAAGTGGTGGTTTGGTGGTTGTGTGGTGGTGATTTGTGGTGGTGGTGGTGGCGGTGGTGGGCTGTGGTGGTGGTGGTTTGGTGGTGGTGTGGTGGTGGTTTGTGGTGGTGGTGGTGGGTTTGGTGGTGGCGGTGGTTTGTGGAGGTGGTGCTGGTGGTGGTCGTGGGGGCGGTGGTGGTGGTGTGGTGGTTAGTGGTAGCGGTGGTGGGTTGTGCTGCTGGTAGTGGTGGTGGTTGTGGCGGTGGTGGTGCTGGTGGTGTAGTAGATTGTGGTGGTGGTGGTTGTGGTGGTGGTAGTGGTGGGTTTTTGTGGTGGTGGTGGTGGTGATGGTGAGTTGTGGTGGTGGTGGTTGTGGTGGTGGTGGCTGGTGGTGGTGGTGTTTGTGTGGTTGGTTGGTGGTGCTGGTGGTGGGTTGAAGCGGTGGTGGTGGTAGTGGTGGTGGTGGTAGTTTTGGCAATCGTCGCTGCGTCCCCGCCGTCGCCGGCGCCAGCGCCGGCGCTGCTGGCCGCCGCCAGCGCCGGCGTTCAAACCCCCACGGGGGATAGGGGTTCAAACCCCCCCACCCCGTGGGCTGCCTCTGGTCCTCGTCGCTGCGTCCCCGCCGTCGGCGCTGCGGGCGGCCGCCAGCGCCGTCGATGGCGCCGTCGCCGAGGGGGGGGAGGGTCGGCAGGGGGGGGTTGGGGGGGAGGGGAGTCCTCTTGGTTTTGATCGACGGCGCCGAGTGTTGGGGGGGGCCCACCCCCCGCTTCGAAACACGCCGCCGAACGTTCCCAAGGCACGCGCCCGTGAAACGCGCTCTCTCCCACCTAACGAACTCCAGGCCTTTCGGGCAGCCCCCCAGACGACCTTGGGAGGACTTCACGAGAGCCCGAAGACGGCCCGAGAGGCTGCCGACGTTCCGGTGCGCTCCCGAAACGACTTCCGCAGAGCTTCGATACGGCCCCAAAGGAGCTGTCATACCCCCAATGAGTGATCGTTCCAAAACGCCCCAAGAGGCTTCAAAAAACACTCCTAAGAGGGCCCCGAGAGGCAAAATTCATTGATTTCCGCATGGTTCGTGGACGATTTGGGGGGTCTCCCCTTTTCGGCTTCCCGGCGCTCCAAGACGGCCAACGAGGCCCCAAGATCGCCCTAAGACGGCCCGACCCCCAGGAAGCCCCAAGACCCCCAACAGATCCAACAAGGACTCCACATACGTTCGAGATCGCTCCAAAACGTCCCAAGAGGCCTCCAAGAGCACCTCCCAAGAGGGCCCCAAGAGGCAAAATTCATTGATTTTCCGTAAGTTTGTGCGTGAGGGGGTGAGTTCTTCCCTTTTCGGCTGTCCGACGCTCCAAGCGGCCCACGAGGCCCCCAAGATCGCCTTCAGACGGCCCGACAGACCTCCAAGAGGGCCCCAAACCGGCCCAAGAGAGTCCCAGACAGTCCCGACAGGGCTCCACGAGGCCCCGAGAGGTTCCGGGGAGGCTTCGGGGGGGGCCCCACGAGGCCCCCGGGGGATTCCCCCGGGGGGTCCCTCCAAAGGATCCAGCGGGATCCCAGACGGTTTCGAGAGCGCCCGAAAAAAACCTTCAAGACAGGCCCAAAACGGGCCAGGAGCCCGAACATGACCCCAAGACAGCCCGACAGAGCCAATTCGCGCCAAGCCTTGACGGGACCGCACCACGTCCCACAGAGGCCCTCAGAAGGCTCTGGGAGGCTCCAATCAGGTCCACGTGACGTTAACACTCCACGCGAAGCCTCCCAAGAGCGAGCGGAGGCGCAACACAACTTCAGCGTCGAGATGTTCGAGCCCCGCTGCGGCGCGGTCCCGAGGCCACCCAAGGCCTTCGCCCGGCTCCTTCCGTAGTCCCAAGGACACGGCCATTGGTAAGCCCAAGTCGCCGTTCCACACTGTGCTGTGTCCGCCATGCCGTCTCCTACCCAAGTCTTTCGACACTCACGAGCCTTCACTGCGTTTCTGCCCGCCCCTCTGTGGCCACGACCGCGCGCATGTATATGGACAACGTAGGCTTGCCCAAGTAGACAAGATACAGACGTATGCACAATCCCGTGTATGCAGTGTATTTATACATTTATACTGTATTATAATATGTATATATGTTTGTATGTGTATATATATACATATATACATATATATATATATATGTGTGTATGTGTTCACAGATGTGCCTATATATGTATGGCGTGCATGCACGTGCGCGCGTATTACATGTATGCACAGAGTCACGCGCGAATGTGCACGCGCACGCACGCCGCTCGCGTGCGAAACTCGAAGGATCAAGGTGCATGGCGCGAAACGCCACTGCAGTCTCGTAAATCGGAGGTGAGGGGGTGAGATCGAAGGGGAACGGAGAGCCCCCCTACCGGGAAATCGATTTCGGTTTCGTGTTCGTGCGTGCCGTGCGTGCGGGCGAGGCGAAGCTGCGTGGGCGGGCAAGAGAAAGTCTCCTGTGGCTGAGGCGCGGCCGGACCAAATGATTCTCCACCGGGCGGCCGGTGGCGCGCGGTGTCCCGACGGTGTCCCGCTGGTGTCCCGTCGGTTCTCCTGTGGCTGAGGCGCGGCCAGACCAAATGTTTCCCTTCCGGGCGGCCGGTGGCGCGCGGTGTCCCGCCGGTGTCCCGCTGGTGTCCCGTCGGTGTCCCGTCGGTGTCCCGATGATGATGTGGATGATTGATGATGATGATGATGATGATGATGATGATGATGATGATGATGATGATGATGATGATGATGATGATGGTGATGGTGATGGTGATGGTGATGGTGATGGTGATGGTGATGGTGATGGTGATGGTGATGGTGATGGTGATGATGATGGTGATGATGATGATGATGATGATGATGGTGATGATGGTGATGATGATGCGCGAGCTCGAAAGAGGAAGGGAAACAATTACGATGTTGCCCATTGCTGGGCCCCTCCCCCCCAACCTAGACCGAATGAGAGTTCGACTGTGAGACCGAATGTGAGATCGATTGCGAGATCGATTGTGATATCGATAGTGAGATCGACTGTGAGATCGATAATGAGATCGATTGTGAGATCGATAGTGAGACCGAATGTGAAACCGAATGTGAGATCGACAGTGAGATCGATTGTGAGATCGATAGTGAGATCGACAGTGAGACCGAATGTGAGACCGAATGTGAGATCGATTGTGAGATCGATTGTGAGATCGATAGTGAGATCGATAGCGAGATCGATAGTGATATCGATAATGAGATCGAATGAGAGATCGATAGCGAGATCGATTGAGTGAGACGTTGGTTCCCCCTCCCCCCTCACCTCCTTATCACCCGCAGGGTGGTCGTATAGGTATCTTATACATACACAGTGGAAACCCATGTCAAGAAACGCCATGCTTGCCTCCAGAGTGCCCTTGTGTCTTAGGTTTCGACGGTTTTGCGATGGGAAGCGTGGCGTTCCCACACCAGAAACCAATGGACGTCCTTGGGTCTCAGGGCTGGGTTTCTTTGCAAGGTGTCTTGTGGACTGGCCTCCACTGTATGGCGCGCGGTTGTGCGCAGCTCTTGCGGGGGGGCGGGAGCAGGCAAAGTACAGTCGGACTTGATCTGAGAGGGTACGCGAGCGGACACAGGATCCGTTCCGAGGGCCACGTTTCCATGGGAGTGTAGGGGACACGGTCGCGAGACACAGAACAAGGGCACCCTTGATTTGGCACGGTCGAGCTACTAATCAAGGCCGCCTGGAATGCACGGGCGACACTACGGCGTGTGAAAATGCAACACCATTCTTGGCATCACTCGGACGTGTGCCTTTTTCTTCGGGGGGGCAAGCGAACTTGTGCACGGGCGACCACCACTGCGTGTGACAAATGCTACACAATTCTCGGCATCGTTCGGACGTGTGCATTTTTTCATCGTCGAGGGCCATCGAGCAGCATCCTGGGACATCCTGCCAAAAAGACGCGCACGGAGTCGCAAAATGCACGGGGAATGGACGTCCGAGAGATGGCGAGAATTGCATCCACGCTAGTATTGCGTCCTGCTTAAAGTGCATCCAGGCGCCAACTACTGCAAGTACTGATGCACCTCTCTCCGTTGACCCATCTGCGACAGACTCACTACTCGGGCTCGAAACTACGCGAACACCCCCGACCTCCCTGACAAAAGTCCATGCAAAGCGGCGGCGGGTCAGTTGGCATCTATTGCGCGGTACCCCGAGTAACTACACCTCTGGAAAGAGGGTAAGCGCCCCGCTGTCCTTGCCTGAAGCCCAATGAAAAAGAATCATGTGGGGCCCGCACATGTTGCAGCGTTTTTGTCGCCCTATGCGTCTTGCTTCGTTTTTTGAACAGTGATGGTCGGAGGGGGTGGCATGGCTGCGGGTGGGCGGCCGGGCGAGTGGGAGAGGGTGCGATGTTTAGATAAACTCCTTCAGAATGCTAACTCCCAGGAGTCGAAAAAGACCCCCCCGGCGACCCGCGGAGGGACCTTTCCAGGCCCAGGGGGAGGGGGTAGGGGGAGGGGTAAACCCCTCCCCGAAGGGGAAGAAGGGGGGTTGAGAACAGAGCGGGCTCTCTAAACTACTCACGCCCAAAGGGCTGGTGGGATTCCTTCAGAATGGTAACGAATGTTTGATTTGGAAGAGTTCATACCTTCAACCGCTTAAGCCGGAAAGGATTCGTGGGAGTCGACAGGGTAGGTATGCACATCGATTGTGGCCAGACGCTAGTTTGTTCCTTCGGCCCCATCTTCTGCCAAAGCGATGCTTGCGGGTGGCCAGGAAACCGGCGACATGGTGAGCGCGGAGAATATTTGTGGATATGATTTGCCTTGTTACCGTGTGAACGAGTTCCAGGAGAGGGCGGCCCAGCTCGTGCCATAGTGTCAGCGAGGGGATGAGGGCGTGGAGGAGGGAGTTGAAGGAGTTAGAAGGAGTGAGGAAGGGGGAGGTCGAGGGGAGAGCCAGCACGGTTCAGCTCTGCCGTCCGCGAAAGCAGGGTGCACCATTTTGGCAGCCAAGGAGGGGGGGGGGAAGTTGGGAGGGAGGAGGAGGAGGAGGAGCAAGATTCTGCATGATCCTCGAGACCCCCACCCCAGGAGTGTCTGGCTCGCTCAGGAGTGCCGCATCCTCAAAATGTTCACGAACATGGGGGTCGGGAGTGCAACATCACTGACAAACCAGAGCTGCGGCTGGAGGTGCATACAGTGGAAACCCATGCCAAGAAACACCATGCTTGCCTCCATGGTGCCCTGAGTTTCTTGGGTTTCGATGCTTTGCGATGGAAAGCGTGACGTTCCCACACCAAAGATCAGTGGACGTCCTGGGGTCTCAGGGTTGGGTTTCTCGTGGAAGGTTTTTTGTGGTCGAGCTTCTACTGTACTCTTGTACTCTTTCGAACACTCGGCCAGTTCGGGCTCCGCATACTTGGCTAAGTTGTGTTGGCGCCCCACGCTTGCGCGGTTGTTATTGTGGCCGGGGGCCGGGCGCAGTCTGTCCGAGAGGTCTCCTCACGCAGGAGAACAGGGAAAGCGAGCCCGATCGGGAAGCTTTCCTACACGACCTGTTCGGACGTCCTCCGCGTGGGCGACGGCTTTTGGCCCTACGATTTACACGCTATGACTGCCTGCTCTAGAGACTGGCCTGCCAAGCAGCCTGTCGGTGGCCCCGAGCAGCCCCGCGCCGGTGCGCACTGCCCCTGCCCCGCCGCCGACTGAAGAGAGTGCTCCGGCGATCGGTCTGCATCGTCCGACCTCGACGGTTCCAGGTGCGGCCGGGCGTCTGCGGGCCGCTGGCCCGCGCCATCGGTCGCTGAAGGCAGGTATTTTTGGGTTCTCGGGTTCCGATCCACTTTCACTGCTTCGATGATCGATTCCTGCGTCGATGACCGAGTGCTTCCTGCTTCGATGATCGAGTGCTTTCCTGCTTCTCAGATTTTTGGCTTCCTGCTTCGATGATCGAGTGTAGCTTCGCCTCTTCCCTCCTCCTCGGGGGGGCGGGCGGAGTCCAGTCCACTCTCAGCGCCTCCCTGCTTCGTGTGCATGCCTGCCTCCTCCGACCGACGGATACAGCCCCCGAGCGCCTCAGTAATCGCAGAGGCCTCGCGCGGGACCCGCCGCAGCGGGGCGGGTGAGGATGCCCCCAGGGAGGGGCCGCTGGGGAGGCCAGGCCGACGATTCTGTCCCAGAACGGTCTGCGGAGCTCCTCGGGAGGTAACACCTTGCCACCTTCATCTGGTCTGAAGTCGGGCCTGTCCCTCTACAGGAGGAGTGTTCAAAGATAGTCAAACCATATGTTTCGAGTATGTTTGACCGTGTTTGAGCATTTTTGGCGATTCTTCATTTTTCTTCCAAGATCCGCCTGTAGACGGACATGCCCGACCTAAATGAATCTAGTCGCTTTCGGACCATCCCGCCACCGCGCCTGGGTCGTTGACCAGAGGCCCTTTGAATTCATAGAAGGGTCGCCTGGAGTGCCACCTGGAGGCCTCTTGGGGGTGAAACTATTCTTGAGGAGCGCACATCCCATGGCCCTTCCAGCCCCCGGCGCCATTCGGCGAAGACGATTGCCCACAGCAGCTCTGCGCTGGCCCGCTTGGTCGCAGAGCCGTCCCAGGAGGATCATGGCCAGGGCATCTTGTAGACCCGGCTCCTCGACATCAATCGGGGAGGGGGGGGGGTCACCAGCCGTACCTCAACAGCTTAACAGCCTCTAGCAAGCGAAGAACGGTATAGAGTTCGCCGTTCCGTCACCGGGGGCGCTTGTCCGAGGGCGGCTGGAAAGTTTCTACCTTGACGTGCCACCGTACGGGTATAAACTTTCCAGCTGCCCTGGGACGGGCGCGCTCCCGACAGCGCAGAAGTTGATGCTATAACGTTCTTCGCCCGTTAAAACGCACAACCGCGGGTTCCCCGGTTTGTCGATGCAAGCGCGGGTTTGCAGGAACCGCACCCTGCTGTGCGTCGGACATTCCGAGGCTGGCGCGGGGGGAGTGTTGGAACGGATGGCGGCAGGGACTCTGCCAGTGGTGATCCCCGAAAGGCGAAGCTCTCGCACTCTGCGGCCACTTGGCGGGGCACGCCGCCGGCGTGTTGGAAGGGCGCATCGTGAGCGTGCCAGTGGCGCGCGGTGCGCCCCAGCATAGGATTAAGTCAGGCACGTCCCTCTGCTGGAGGAATCTTCACTACTTTTTTCCGCTATTCGGATGTTTTCCGCTATTCGGACAAGATCCACTACTTCAAGGAAATAGTTTAGGGACGAATTTCCAACATGTTGGGGATTTGTTTTTGCTATGTTGGGTTTTTCGTCTAAAATCCGCATGTTTGAGGACATACCTGACCTAAGCATAGGAACGAAGTGTGGTCGACCGCTGCCTTTCCTTGGCGTGCGCGCGGTCCAGCGCCAGTCGGTGCCGCAGTGGTGGTGCTGGAGCGTCGGGCGGGCGGCCATGGGGGGGGTGACCCAAATGGGTGGTGAAGAAAAAAGGCCCTAAAGGGGCCCCATTTGGGCCCAGCTGGCTCCAAAAGGGGCCCTGAAGGGCCCCTCGAGGGCCCTTTTCTTCACCCCCGATTTGGGTCGCGCCCCATTACCACCCTGAAGTCGGACGTGCCCCTCCACACGAGGAACATCCAAGAATAGCCGAAAAGCAGTCTGGGTACGAATTGTTCAGCTTATTTGTTCAGTATTGAGCACGTCTTGGCTACTTCTTCTCCGTCGTCCAGAATCCGCCTGTAGGAGGAGAGCGGCGAGAGGGCCGCCTCTGCGCCGAGCGGCCGCGGGGGCGCGTGGGGGGGGAACGTGCCGCTGGCGCCGCTCGTTCTGGAGGGCCCTCGCCGCCACGCCCGGGCGCGCCGCGGGGGGCTCCGGCCAGAACGCGTACCCCAGGAGGGGTCTGGGCGGCAGAGCGGTGCCCGTCGGTCTCGTGGAAGGCAGGCGCTTCTAGGCTCCCAGGTTACAGTCCACTCCAGGCGCCATCTTGCTTCAAGGGTTGAGCGGCGTTCCCTCTTCCCTCCTCTTCGGGGGGCAGGCGGAAGCACAGTCTACTTCCAACGCCTTCCTACTTCATGTTGCTACCCACTTCTTCCGACCGATGGGTACCCTTGGGTTTCCCCACAGCCGGCTCAGTAGCATCACACACACACACACACCAGTAGAGCAACACGTCCTGTGCTCGAGGATCCTTCCGTTTCGGTTTGTTTTGCACCATCATGGGTCGTATTTTGACGAGTGGCACCAGGATGCAGGAGGTAGCGTCTCGCTACCGAGCCGCATGTCGATGGTCATTCCGACAAAGGAGACCCGTGCCCGGCGGCGCATGGTGAAGGCTCGGAGGTGTCGAGGAGACAGCAGCGCCGTGCGAGAGGCGAGGTGTCGACGGGCTTGCCTGTCTGCCGGTGTGTAGCTGGGGGGTGAGGTGTTAGGTTGTGTCCGGCGGTTCGGGGTGTAGCTCGCGCGGCCACGGAGCCAGCTGCTGGTCACGCGAGCGGGACGGGGCCCGAACATCGCAGAGGGAGGGCAGACAGGTGACACCGTCAAGGCGTCGTTTGTCGACGCGTTGCGGACTCTTATCGTCGCGGCGCTCGGGCACCAGTTGAAACCCGACGCACGAGGCGGCAACGAGCCGGCATTAACCGAGCACCAGTTGGAACCCGACACGCACACACACATACACACACACACACACACACGCACACGCTCACGTCCAGTAAGGACCCCTACGATACGTTCATTCGGCGTTGGCGCGCCGGTGATGGCGGCGAAGGCGTTGCAGGTTGAATTCTGCGAGGCGGAAGCACCGAGGGACACACTGTAAAGCCGCCGGACCCGACGGAATTCAGCTCTGAACGCTCGGGGCCGCGATCGGTTCAAGGTTGCAGGATCGACGCGGTACAAGCAGCGCCGAAGGAAGGGAAGGGGAAGGAGGAGGGGGAGGAGGGGGAGGAGGAGAAGGAGGAGGAGGAGGAGGAGGGGTAGGAGAAAGGGGTCTCACATGTCAGAGCTTGGGGCCCTTCGCGTGGGACGGCAGGGTGCGCGGCGGAGATGCAGGGGGTGCGCGGGCGCACCGCAGGAATGCAGTGGGGAGCAGCGTTCAGGCCGATCCGTTGTTGAAGAAGAAAGATAATAATGATGAGAATAAGAAGAAGGATAATACGAAGAAGGAGAAGAAGGAGAAGGATGATGATAATAATAATAATAAGAAGAAGAAGAAGCAGGAGAGGAAGAAGAAGAATAATCAGAAGAAAAATAAGAAACAGAAGAAGTGAGCCGCGGACCAGGTGAGCCACTGACGACGTTGGCGCGCAAGCCGGGGGAACGAGGATGACATCAGCATCAAACCCCTCGGAGGTCCGCGCGGATTTCTCAAATACGCGCTGGACCCCCTGGCGCGCCAGGAAGGGGGGCAGCGAGGGCTGCAGACAAGAGGGGCCCCTTCGGGCCCCTCAATGTGGGCCCTTTAGGGCTCCAGAGGGGGCCTCTGGGGCTCCAAGAGGGCACCACTCTCCTCCCCCCCCCCCACCCCTTGATCGCCCCCACAAGAGCTCGGGCCCACGGGAGAGAGAGAGGAAGAGAGAAGTGGCCCGGCGGCCGGGGGTCAGGAGAGGTGGAAGGGAGAGCGAGAAGGGCTGGAGGTGCGGGGAAGGCAGGAGAGACAGCCCGCCCTCGCGCGCCACCCAGGAGAAGATCCGCGGAACCATGAGGACGCGCTGCCGAGCTCGGGCCAGCTCCGCCCGACCCTCTGCCCTCCCCATCGGCGAGCGGCGCTGGGCGACTGTCGCGCGAGGCGCGCGCGGGCGCCAGGTGCAGATGGATCGCCCTGCTATCGTCTTCCTTCCTCCTCCTCCTCCTTCTCCTCCTCCTCCTCCTCCTCCTCCTCCTCCTCCGATCCTCCCCCTGCTCCTCCCCATCCGCCTCCTCCGCCTCCTCCTCCTCCTCCTCCGCCTCCTCCGCCTCCTCCGCCTCCTCCTCCTCCGCCTCCTCCTCCTCCTCCTCCTCCTCCTCCTCCTCCTCCTCCTCCTCCTCCTCCTCCTCCTCCTCCTCTTCCTCCTCTCAAGCGCATTATGGCTCAGGTTTTCCACCTGGTCAGTCTCACCTTGTGCTGAGTCGTGTGCTCGCTTGAGCGCCGCCCGCGAGGCGGTGACAGCAAGGTATCATCATTCCAAAGCCAGCGCCATGGTGCCGCCTCCGCCGGCTCCTCCCGCTGGTGCTCCTGGCGGCGCGGGGTGGGCAGCCCCCTTATGGGCAACCCGACGGCACGGGCTGGGCTGCAGGCCAAGGGAACAAGGGCTGGACGCGTGGCCCACCGTGGCGCTGCACATCATGTGGGTGCAAGAAGAAAAGGCCAGCTGGTGTTTTTGCAAGCAGTGCAAGACCCAACGACCTCACCTTGAAGCCCAGCAGCCTCCTGTCGCAGGTGGAGTCTGGGCTCAAGGCCAAGGAGGTCATCAGCCAGCTGGACAGCCACTTCCTCTTCGTGTTGGACCCCAGTTCATGGCTCAGCGGCCAGTGGCAGTGGAACAGACGGAACCGACCAGTGCTGATGGAGCAGCTCATTCGTTTGCTCGAGAAGTGCGGGGACGCGCAGGGGGCAGCCAAGCAGAAGGAGGCCCTCGCCACCCGCAAGAAAGCTATGGAAGTGGAGGTGCCTTTCAGCCAGCAAGCCAACAGAGCCTTTTCAAGATCTTCGGAGCTGCAGGGACCGCTGTGACCAGGCGTGCTCTCACTATGAACGATTGGTTGAGGAGCTCTCTACGCGACAATCCAAGGTACGTGAATGTTCGGAAGCTTTGGCTCTTGCAGAACAGAAGCATCCAGACTTGGTCGCTAAGCTCAACGCTTCGGTTTGCAAGAAGCCCAGCATGCTCTAGATCAAGGACGTCCTGGAGTGCAACTATCAGGACATACCAATCAACGTTGATTCTTTGGTCGACTACTCCTCAGAATACTACGAGATTTCGCAGCAGGAAAAATGATATCGACAACAGAGTGGCCAAGCTCAAGGAAGCCCTTCAGCAGTCTATCAAGGATCTCTTCGGCGGCATGGCTGAGCAACACAAACAATTCCAGGCGCAGCATGCCCAGGAAGTCAAGCGCACGGCGGGGGCAAACGTCGCTGCGTGCGTGAGGGTGAACAGCCACCAGCCGACAGTCCTGCTGACGAACGGAAGGCGGAGTCCCCCGAGGGCACCGCCGGCGGCGCAGCGGCGCCCCAGCAGCAGTGGCGCAGCCGCCTGCTGCCCAGCGCAGCCGCCTACTCCAGGTTCTGGTTCGGGGGCTCCGCCCACGACGCCTTCCTCTACGCCGGCTCCGTCTTCTGAGGCCCTCGCCCCTGGAGCTCGAGCCGCCGAGATTATACCAGCAAAGCCCCCCGTCGCGGTTGCCGCGGCCCTCGCGCAGCCAAGCGGGGGGGCCCAACTACGGCGCGATTTCACCTTGCCCGTCGGGCAAGGGGACTGGAAGTTCCATTGGGCCCTCGACCTGAACCCCGCTTCTGTGGGCCTTCTCCTCGGTCCGCCCTCGATCCTCCTTCCCCTCCTCCTCCGGGTTCAGGCGCGGGTTCCCCCTTGAGGGTCAGCTGTTCAGATCGCGAGTGGACCTCGTCCAGTCGGCATGCTCACTCAAGTTTTGGCGCCCACCCCGCGAGACAGGACCCCGCCGCCATCAGTTTCGATTTTACGGGCCAGGCCGTCGGCGAGCCCGACGATGTCGGCCTGGCCCAACACTGGGCCATCGCGCCGTCCGATGTCGGGGTCGAAGTTGGGAGTTTCGCGGATCTCAGCGGTTCGTCCCCAGCCAGGCTTTCGTTTCAGGCCCACCTCGAGGCCCTGCGCGCTCGCGTCCGCGGGGTCCTGCGCAAGGATCCCGCGGGCCCCCAGGTCTTCCAGGGCCCCGTCGAGGTCGCCCCTAATTTGGTTCCTGAAGGCGCGGCCGCGCCTTTAGCTGCCCCATTGGGGCCCCTCTGTTTTGAGCTTGGTTCCTGGTGGAGCCCAGCACGTGGTCATTTCATATCAGGCTACGGTTCTTGAAGCTCCTCCGATCCGATGCTTGCCGATGTCGATGGCTCTCGCGGCCCGCCCTTCTCCCCCCCCCCCCCCCCCGAGTCCAGACGGCCCCCCCAGGTGCTGCATGCGCCTCTCGTGGAAACGCGTAACATCTCGGGCTGGGACAGCGCTCAGAAGTGGCTGCCCCAGACCTTGGCGGACAGTGCACTTCTTCAAGAGCATCACCTGCATTATGACAATCTTGCGTCGGCTAGCAGTTGGCGCGCGACAGTGGATGGAAATCCACGTTCTTGCCAGCAGGTCGCGAGCCTGACGGAGGTTTGAATGCTGGAGTCGCGGTGTTTGCCAGAGCTGGTCTAGGCATGTTTGGTATACCTTCTGGGCCTGAAGCATGGCCGCATCGCGCCGTCGCCGCTGTCGTTCAGTTGCCCGACTAACTTCAGGGTTCACGCATTAGCGTTTACCTTCATGACGTGGAGGGGCTGTCCGGCAACAGCCCCTCGATCATGGGCGCTCGCGGTGCCTTCGTGGGGAGCCCCTGGGTATCCTGTGATCCTTGGGGGCGATTTCAACGTGGACCCTTTCCAAATCGTGGAGACAGACCTCGACGGTCGCACCAATGGGCAGCGGATTGTTCCTGATGGCCACTCTTGTACAGGCATTGGAGAAGCTAAGACTTACGAGCGAGCGCCGGCATGTGCAATGGCGTCTCAGGTGCTCGAGGCATTCGGGGTAGCGATCTGTCTCCGCACTTCCCTGCGCAGGTCCAGTTCCACCCTCGCCCACCTAATGTCAAGGCCTCGGGGTTCAGCCCCCCCCCCCCCCATCCCCCGCGAGCCCCCTTCCCCCCATTTGTTCGCTGGCCCCCTTTTCGGGCCCATTTGTTCGCTGGCCCCCTTTTCTTGCGGGCGGGGATGGTTTTTTTTCGCTTTCGTACCCGGGCGTTTGGGTCTGCC